AGAATTTTTTATTACTCAGAGTCATGCCATCAAAAGGAACAAATAAAACTGATATTGACATGTATTTTTCAATTTAACTGCTTGATTTATCAAATTGAATATAATTTTGTTTTTTATTTATTTTAGGAAAAATATTTTTTTGGAAGTAAGTATAGTTTTGATGTTTCTTTCACAGAAGTTGATAATAAATTTGGTAGTTGGGACACTTGTATTAATGGCAGATACAAATCAGATACTCCCAACACCAAGTGTTGTCATCTCATTCTCAGACAAAAAAGTTTAAAGAATTTTATGATCTTATGTACAGAATTTAATTTTATTTAAGATGTTTCCCCTTCATTTTATTGATAATGGTCATTTAAACCCTGTGATAGGAGTTTTAGCATTGAGTTCAACACAGGCATCATACATAAAAGTACTAGTACACTAGTAAATTAAAGTAGACAATAAAGAGAGCAATTTTTGCAAATGGTTCAATTTCTATTCTAAAATAAAAACTGGGAGCTTAGAATTTCGACATCAGAGCTTATTTGATGACAATAATTATTGATTGAATGCATTTCAGATCAAACTGTGATTTGCAACGAAAATTACACGGCGCCAGACCAGTCAAATGGTAAGGCGGGAATAAACCCCCAGGAAATGATGGGACTAGGGCATGGCCTTGTCATTATGCTCATTTGTTTTCTCCATGAAAAAATGTCAATATAATTGGTAGTAGAAGGAAATGGAGGTTGCCTGAGGTCTTTGCTGTAGAAAATAAGTTGAGGCTTAAGCCTGGGGTTAGATGAGGCATTATGTGTAATCCTTTGATTTTTGAGGACTCAAAGATATTTTATTGATGTAGGGTTGACATACAGTAGATGACTATTACACTGACTGATATACTGCATGAACTCTGCATTTTAAACAACTTTTTGTTATAATATGCTATGCTATGCTAATTTTACTATCATGTTATGTCATTTTATGTTACTTTGTGTTATGATTTAGTACTATGTATGTTATCCTATGCAATGCTGACTGTGGTAGTTCAGCAATTTTTGGGGCTTAGCCAAAACACTACTTATTCATCACTTTCTTCTCCAAATGGTTTCAACTTGACTAAAACAAGTGAAATGAACCCAGTTTTTAAAGCAAATTTAAGAAGTTTTAGAGCTCATTCAGAACAGCGGACTAACAGATCCGCAGATGAAAATATGGCTGACTCACTTGAGTGCTTGTTGAGAAATCCCCGTAGGGAATAAATTCAGTGTCTAATTGAGAATTAAGAGACAAGCTTTTTAGTGGGTCACCATATTTGATCTGCCAATTTGTTAGTCTGCTCTTCTGAATACACTCTTAGCATTTTGCCGAATTAGTGAGTGTTAGCACTACAACAGCTACGTCATGTCTCATCACATCCCGTCACATAACGTCATGTCACGTCACGTCATGTGCCATTCCAATACATTGTATCATACGTTTCAGGGACCACATCCTGGCTATTCCAGTGTCCATCCAATCAGTGCCAGACACCAGAGGGCGGTGCTATCTACGGCTCCTGCTGCGTGAAAGGTCACTGTAGATGCTACGGGGAAGGGTACAATTCCTACACATGTTTACGTAAGCAGCTGCTGTCAAATAGCTTCTAAAAGTTGATTTGATATCTTTAATCGCAGTTTCATTTTAATCTGGTTATATCCAGTTTAAAAAATCAGATTCTCCAAGAAGCAGTTTTTGTGATTACGCTCAAGATGCTTTCAGCCAATTCAAGAGTTGAGGTCAATCCCCAAGTCTTATTGAAGCATGACTGAGACATTTGTCCAAATCTTATACCCCCTTTACACTGGACGGCGTCCTTTCTGCGTCCTTTCTGCGACCATGAAATTTGGCATCACTGTGGTCTTAATTAGGAGGCAGGAGCATTGGTTTTGCATCAAAATGAATGCTCAATGATCGGCTAATTGTCAGCACGTAAAGTATTATAATTTTTAAACTCTCAAATGGGGTCGTACTGCTGGACGCAGAAAAGACGCCGTCCAGTGTAAAGGGGGCTTTAGCAGTTTTGTTAATTTTTAGATCTTTTAAATACAGGTAGAAAAGCAATCAGACTACTCAAACCTCTGCTAGACTTTACATGGATATATTGAGGTAGTTGAGAGAACATTTACTGCATATAACGACTCAAAGATTTATAAATAAATGATGATCATTATCATTATAATCATTACTATTATGATTATTATTCATAAAAGCGAGTGCAGTAATGAAAGTGAATTAATGAACTATTTCAGCTGAGATCCCAGGTTGTCATGTCTTGCCTCATCAGTCTAGAGTAGCAGCGCCCCCTACAACAACCTTCAAAACCAGTCAGTCTGTATACAGCTGTCTGAACCTCCAGCCCAGCAGTCCACGCGAGGTGCACATCCTAGCGGCGTACACGAGCAATAGTCTACTGCATCAGATGCAGAACAGTGTGGAGATGAGGGGAATTACGGTGAACATCACCAGAGAGGGGAATTCTAGCAAGCAGGTGGTTCTGGCGCTGAGCTCATTTGAGGCTGTGCAATGGACTGTTGATGTTCCTGCGGGAGTTAACGTGTCTGAAATTTTATTGGTAAGGTTTTTAGAAGTCAAGGCATTCGTAGGCCAGGCCCCAGCTTCACAAAAAAAGTTACTAAATTAATTGGCTAGGATTTTCATGAGGGTGCTGTAACATTGTTTCTGATAGGGTAAGATGTTTGCATGTGACTAAGTTACTTTGGTAATTTAAGTTTTTAGCCAGAGAACCTGACTTTTTTGCGAAACAGAGGCCAGGTCTTCTGACAGTTTCTCTGACAGACTAGAGGCAGTCGCCTTCCCTGCATTATCTTCAAGCTAACAGGGTATTTATAGCTGGAGGCCCATGTGTTTTAGAAATTTAGAAACATTTGTTTGATAATTTCTGGTTATGTATCATATGTATTATTACTTCACTTTTTATGTACATTTTGTACATTGGAAAATTGATCAAAGATTATGAAAGTAAATTTATTTTCCAGTTCTCTCCAAACATATACTCAACTGTGGTACCGGCTCGTCATGGCTCAGCAGACAGCCCCAAGCTCCCTCTAGTGGCTATATTTCGCCAGCCATATGGATATGGTATAGACAGTGAGGGATACGGGTCCACGCCAGCATTGTTAGAGTCTGTAGAGGAAGAGACGCAGACAAAGATCACGTCCTTCACAGGGAGCTCAGTGGTAGATAGATTTGAGCTGACAGTGGGGCTCATGTGAGATGACTTCTGTTAGATGACTTATGTTAGATGACTTTTGTTAGATGACTTGTGTAAGTCTGGCAAATGAAATAGTATGACAGTGGCATTTTCTTAATTTTTTAATGAACCCCTACTTATGATATAAGGTGGTAGGTTAGTTTGCAGTCTGTCACAAATACTGGAGTTAAAACTAACACACAATAAGTCGATCTTATTTTTGACCATGTTAAGGTTGCATAAATCAAAAGCTTGAAAACGAGATATTAATTCCATATGTTTATTTATTTATTTATTTATTTATTTCGTAGTTAAGTGATAACTTATATCAGGTGCTTCAAAAAGACCAGTTTCATGTATTTATTTACTTATTTATTTTCCAGTACCACTACATATCTCTACCATTTTCTTTTATCATTTATTTTAGCATTAGATTATTCTGTGTTATCATATCAAATAAACTGTTTTAGCAGAAAGAGTAGCAGTAGTCCACAGACCTCAGTTTACATATTATCTGTTTACAATATTCTATAGTTTATGACTTGAGATTATAGTTAAGGGTAAGGTTATAGTTTATGGCNAGGGATACGGGTCCACGCCAGCATTGTTAGAGTCTGTAGAGGAAGAGACGCAGACAAAGATCACGTCCTTCACAGGGAGCTCAGTGGTAGATAGATTTGAGCTGACAGTGGGGCTCATGTGAGATGACTTCTGTTAGATGACTTATGTTAGATGACTTTTGTTAGATGACTTGTGTAAGTCTGGCAAATGAAATAGTATGACAGTGGCATTTTCTTAATTTTTTAATGAACCCCTACTTATGATATAAGGTGGTAGGTTAGTTTGCAGTCTGTCACAAATACTGGAGTTAAAACTAACACACAATAAGTCGATCTTATTTTTGACCATGTTAAGGTTGCATAAATCAAAAGCTTGAAAACGAGATATTAATTCCATATGTTTATTTATTTATTTATTTATTTATTTCGTAGTTAAGTGATAACTTATATCAGGTGCTTCAAAAAGACCAGTTTCATGTATTTATTTACTTATTTATTTTCCAGTACCACTACATATCTCTACCATTTTCTTTTATCATTTATTTTAGCATTAGATTATTCTGTGTTATCATATCAAATAAACTGTTTTAGCAGAAAGAGTAGCAGTAGTCCACAGACCTCAGTTTACATATTATCTGTTTACAATATTCTATAGTTTATGACTTGAGATTATAGTTAAGGGTAAGGTTATAGTTTATGGCTTTTTTTTTTTTTTTTTTTTTTTTCACCAAATTTTCATCAGGCAAAAAAGAGCAATTTTAATGCACTCACAAAAAATTGCTGGACCCATTCTTGCACTTGATTGAATGTTTTCTTATTTTAATCAATAAACGTGTTCTACGTGAAATTGTGATTCATTCATGCCACTGTTTGTCTTCTTAATGTTTCACAAAGCACACACTGTATTTAGTCAAACATGTAAGGGGTTTAAGTATTTTCAAGGTCTGAATTTTGGAAAGAGGAGGAGCTTTGCAGAATGTTTAGAAATTAAAATGTGATTTGTGGACATATTAGAATAGGTGAAGAGTACACTTAAGCAGCTATACTTACGTATTTATTTTATAAAACTTGTCTCCGAAAGTTTTAGAGAATCTGTCTTTAGAATATTGTGTGTGGATATTAGATATCGAAAATAGGAAAAATGTTCCTAAAATTGTGCAAATTTGTTGGAATCAAAACAAATGTTATCAAATACTGTCTTAATAATAGTTTTGTTTTGTAAAAGTTCTCTGTTTAGATTTTATGTCAAGTGAAACATTTAGCTTCTAAAGCTGAAGACATTACTTAAAAAGCGTGTTCTATACATGTATGTGGCTGAAATTTAAATAATTGTCATTATATTTATGTGGGTAGATAAATATCAAGTTTCTCTATGCATTTTCTTTATAATGTACTTAGCTCAGCTGCCTTTTTATATTAAATGAAAAACTTATGAAAATTGGAATATTTTATTAATTGTTAAACATAATACTCATTAATTTCATCATGGATAGGAAAATGTATGTAAGGATTTTTTCAGATTAATTAAATGTGTTAATAGTTTAAGATGCTAATGTAATTTTGATAATTAATCTGATTTGTGATATTTATAAGTATATGTCTACCATATATAGAACTTGATGAATATATAGAAGTCGTTAATATGGTCGTAGGCTGAGAAAAAGGTTTGATGGATTTGGGGTGGGAGTGATGTTGGCGACCTACAAGGAAGTTATTTTTACCACCATCTAGATGCTGACTGAAGGAAAAGTAACTTCTGGAGGAATTGGAAATGAGCAAGTACTAACAAGTAATTATTAAGAGACAAAAAAAAACACAAAAATGTCGGGGGGGGGGGGGGGATATGGAGCACCTCCTACCCGGATGATAGGGGGTTAGGTATAACTCTCCCCCCTTTCCCAGCCTGCAACTTAAACCTGAAACTTTTTTTTATGTTAAACAGCTGAAATGTATGAATACAGCTGAGATGAATAGATCTTTGCCACACAGGCTCCTGCTGAAACCTTTTGATTGCAATCTCCACTTGTACAACGGGGCCACGTCTCCCAAAGTCTGACGTCAGGTTTTGGCTTCAAATCTAAGCCTTAGGGATTTTTTTTAACAAATACTGAAGAATAATTAAGTTCATGTGTAAGTATGTATGCTAGTATGTAACAAGAGACACATTGGGTAAAGATGAGGAGAATAAAAAACGCCTCACCTTATTATTTTAGCGATAATATTGAAAGGGGGAGTATGAACAATAGTTATGCACAGATAAACTAATCAGTGCATTAAAGTGCAAATTATACGGATTAAAAAAGCTAAACGAAAACGAACTGACAGTATATATTTGTCCTGGATTTTTATGGTGCTTGCAAGGATATAAATGTATGCGTTTGAACGAGTGCTTGTTTACTGTGCTTAAGATTACGTTTGTGAAAATTAAGCACACATTCAATCTGTTAAGTGTTTATATACGTACCCTTGCACTGTGAGTTCATCCATATCTCTATAGATAAATGGTTGAGGGTTGTGGTCTTGAATTTTGGGCTGAGAGCCACACGTATAATTGTTAATAAATAGTTCATCTACTCTGTTTTGTGTTTGTCAAATTGAGAAGGGACATTAAATAATTTTTAAGTTTGTTGAAACAAATACATTTGGTTTAGAAAGGTTATTGTAGCCCTTTATTGTCATCCAGATACCGAAAATGAGGTTTTTCCTGCATCTAATAATTCAGTAACGTATCTATTTCTGCCAATTTAAAATATTAAAAACCGTCGAACATATAGAACATCAGCGTTTATATTTCTCGTTGCGATGTATAAGCATAGGCAACTCGGAACTTAAATCGTCGATTTAACAGCTATCTATTTTGAGGTGAGATAGCAATCGGTATGGGACGTAACTACATCCCTGAACAAGATTTTATCAAGAAAATTGGCAGAATTTACCGCGAGTGTTTGGGCCACAATCCCGTGCCGATATTTTGTTTAAAATGTTTGTAATGAAGTTATGAGCACCTAATTACAGATTTTCAATAAACAAATGTATTAATTTGCTTAATCAACGATAAAATCTGAACTAAAACTTTTGAAAAAAATTGCCGGCAGGGTTTTTGAGTACTAAATAGTGTCATTAAATCAGCGTTTAAACGGAGATCGTGGGTGCTCCGGGAAAAGAGAGATTTGAGAAATCGCTTTTTCAGTTTTACCCCAAAATCGCAATTATGGTGTCACCCGTAAGATGACATGTGTAAATGTTTATTTAGTCACTGAACACTGAAGATTTATCTATTACCAAAAAGAATGTATGTAGGGCAGTTACTAAGGAATTTTGGGCGAAAGGTGACAATATCCTTATAATTCGCATGTAAGTCGGAGGTGACGAGTACGCCTAAAAATGTCATCACGATAGTTAGCAACATTAGCCATCCACAAACTGTTTAGCTCAAGTCTTCCATGTCGTATATATCATCGTTGGTCTCCATTCACATAAAATCATCTGTCCACTTCATACCTGTAAATTTACAAATCTTGAGCCACAATTTATGCTTCCGATTGCAGCAGAGGCGACTGTTTTCCTTTTCCCCGCCAGATGGCGATACAGTACGGTCTGGTTTGTCAAACGTGGCAAAAACTGCTCAAATAAACCTAGGATCCACGTAACATATTGGAAAGAGCATGTACCACGCGAGGACTATACAGTCAAAGAAAAGGCTGAGGAAAGTTGTTTACTGGATCTTGGTTTTATTTCACGCAGGAATTCACAAGGCACGTAAACACTAAAAAAGAAGAGAAAAAATTAGGCCTACAAGAATACACTCACTTCCCGTGGTTTACCATGCATAAATCAACTTATACAAAACTTATTAATTTCAATAATCACTAATAATCAATAACCAGTATTAAAAAACTCACCATTTCTGCCATTCCTTAAGCCATAAATTCTAAGTAACAAATCAAAACTAGAAATAACTGACCAAAAAGAAAGAATACTCGGTATACTGCGTGTTCTTCCTATGGACACAATGGGCCGAATGAAATGAAACGTTCAAACTAATGGGAGTAGCCCTGAACCAAAAAGTTATCACTTATGCAAATGTGCGTTGCATCAGATGTGCTGGATCACCTGGCTCCTCAAGAACAATACAAGAAAAGTGTCCCGTCACTCGTTTAGTTCTAATGAGAATGAAGTACGCACAAAGATAAACAAATGTTTTGCTAGTCCAGAAAGAAACAGGTTTTAAGATACATTTGAAGTGAAACATTCGCCAATTAACCCAACAAAATGCCATCATTTAGTTTTAAATTGTATATCTCTAAGAAACATAAAAAGGTTTCATCTAATACTTCCAGAAAATGATATCTGAACGAATATTTGTTGTGTTCTTTCTGTGCTAAACGTAGCCCTCGGTCGTTTTCGCCAACCCCCATATGAATATTCATTCAATTGCTCGGACAGCAGTAATGTTTGTTAATTGGCGAAAGTTTACAAATTGAAAGGGCAGATAAATAGGTCAAGACAGGCCCGTAGCCAGCAATTTAAAAAGGGGGGTTCTTTTTCTGAAAAAGTGGACCTTTTCCCATAAAAACTTCATGTACATAGATCAAATTTTACCCAGAGTGGACTTTTTCCCAACAAAAGGGGCGGTTCTTTTGATTTTTTCTTGTCCAATTTTTCAATAAACGAAAACGCATATGAAACCCACGTTGTGGATCAGGATAACAACAATAACTTGAGAAAGATCCGTTTATTTTCAAGCATTACAAAAGATACGACTACTCGGTGCAGGGTTTTGAGGAAAGTACCAGGGAATATGAAGCAAAAATTACAATATTGATTCTTGCCCCTCATAATTCATAGAACTCAATAACCACCTCTGTATTGTTCAGGGGTGGATCCAGGATTATTTGAAGGGGGTGGGGGTCTGCGGATGCAAAGCCAACCCTTACCCCCCCCCCTTGGCGTGGAGCCCCGAAAATTTTTTTTTCTTTTAGAGGGCGAACGGTGCCATTTGGTACGGTTTAAAACTATGTTTCAGCTAGTCAAAATTCTATAATTTCATGAGGGTACCATTGGTGTGATTTCTTTCAGAAATCGAAGGGAGGACGGGGGTCAGGACCCCCCCTGACACCCCTAAATCCGCCACTGTTGTTGTACAACATTAAATAGACTCTAAAATCCCACGTACCCACAAATGCTGAACTAATATTTATAAAATGAGTTGAAGATCACATATTCACGTGTACGGCATATCGGACCTTTTTATTTGAGCAAAGAAAAGTCTTGTGCGCTTTGTCCGACGCCCTTTTCTTACTAGCGTCTAAATAAAAACAGATTCAAAACAATATATATCAACAATTCTTTCAAAAATATTGCAACATCCAATCCAACACTTTTAGTGTTTACTTTAGTAGAAAATAAGTTATTTGTGCTGAAAAACAATACAACCGAGACCAGATTGTTCACCGATGGCAGGTCAAGGTCACCAATGGCAGGTCAAGGTCGAGGTGTGCTCCCTGAGCTCTGACGCTATTCCCCTTCTCTCTGCCGAAACGACAGTGCAACAATTAAGCGAGACAAAACTCTATTCCTGTGTATAATGTTATTGAAAAATTGCCCTCGTTTTCTGTTGAATTTTTGTCTCGCTTCGTTCAGCAAACCTTTCATCCTCGATACCCTTAAAATTGCCCAACCCCTGGTTGCAGAACCAGTTTTCTCACTGGGCCAAATTAGAACTGCAATCCCCAAGTTGACTCAAGTCAACTTTTGTTCACCATTCTTGCAGATCAGTGGAATGTCAATGCATTCATCATTAATTGTCTCAATACTTGACCTTTTCCATTTTTTTCATTAAAAACAAAGCCCCTTCTAATTTTCTCACGCACATTTAATATCGTTTTTCTAGACCCAGTAACAGTATCACTCTTCTTCTATACCGACTGAAAATTTCACGACCCCATTGCTACAGCCCGATTCCCGCCGGGAGTTCACGGAGCCGCTGGATGCCGTGCACGGAAACTGTTCCACCGTGTGCCTCCTCAGTCCTGGCCGGACCACCGTGGTGCCCCTCTGCTCACAGTTCCCGTTCCAGTCCTCCTTGATCGGCGTCAGGGCTATTTGTGAGTCACATTTAAGGAATGTCGCAGTAGAGCTCACGTTAAGGAATACAGGGCACGAGGCGTTTGTTCCTAACAACCGCGTGTAACGTACGTCTCTGTTCACCGCCAAACGTGCCGGAACGTTCGTGGTGCTTAGGCCCTCCTTGACCATCGTGTCCATTCTCTCATCCGTGCAGCACTTGCAGAACAGAATGCAGAAACATTTGCGAAATTTTGAATTGAAAGCACTGTACAATATTATATTCACAGCTGCGTTGACGCATAGCAACGTGTCTGTTATTTCACGTATCCCTTTGGCAAGGCAGTTCTCGTTCTCGTGATAGCCGATCTCGAACACAGTGGACATGATTGCATCAGGAGTGACGCACATCAAGAACAGCACAATTACGCTGAGGAGCATCACCGTGATGCGGTGCCGCTGAGAACGTTTCTTATTTGCCCGCGTCGCTCTGATAGCGCGGATGATTTGGAAGTTCATGATGGCTAGAATAAAGAGCGGTATCACTGAGCGCAACAGATTCTGTATCCACGTGTACGCCGTGACAAATTCTTTATTTTTCCACAACTCCGTAAGATCCACGTCTAAGTGATACATCCCCGTGGAGTTGTCGAACACCTTGACTGTTTTATACCGGAGAGCGGATGGGATGGCGATTCCTGACATGACAAGGTAAATGACGACACTGACCACCGTAGCTCTCTGCGTGGTACACATGGTTTTACCCCACATGGCATGACACACCAACACGTACCTCTCCACAGCCACGGAGACCAGCAACCACGAAGACACACATACAGACATTTGAAAGACGAAGTGTGAAAACGGGTATAGATAGGCGTACATCTTTTGCCCAGTCGCAGGCGACGTGACGTACAGAAAGACGGTCATGAAGTACAGAAAGTCATTGATTAACTTAATCATATCTGACACGGCTAGGGCTGAGAGGTACACGTTTGTTGACGACCTCATGGGTTTTTGACTGAGAACCACAAGGGTTAGAATGCTCCCAATAATACCAAAGGTACACAGGACTGGAAACACGTAGAGTCCCGTGATTTGCCTCGCTATGAAGTAGAAGTGCTTGTATTGGTCCGTGTCGTTATCGTTGTTGCTGTGGGACATCACGTGATCCATCAGGTGGACCACTCCAGTGTGATTTTCTTGCACGTCCGCCATCTTTGCTAGCAGAGTCTTGTTGATCCTGAGAGTTTTACGCAGGAATCACTTGGTGCCGCTAATTATAAGTTTTCGTTCCGATTGTTGGAACTGATGCACCTTGAGTTTTCTGAACATTTTTCTAAAAGTAAAAGAATAATTGATTTAGCCATTGTATTAAAAAAAAGCTTTATAAATATAGAAATTGTGTCATAACGATGCTTAGCAAATATTTCAATAAATTTACCAAGTGTTACTTGATTCTGAAATAAAGTCAAATTCATCAATAAACTAGAAAAGCACTCCGAGAGCGCAGACCTCCGCCAATGCAGCGATTTAAAATTTTTATTGATTGATTATTGATCTGGATCACCACCAACACTAATCATCTCTTCCTTGGCCCACTTCTGACAGTTCCTGAAAATTCTTCAAAATCGGTCCATAACTTTTTGTGTTATGTTGATCACAGACAGACAAACAAACAAACAGACAAACAGGGGTGAAAACATAACCTCCTTGGCGGAGGTCACAGACTAACCAAATTTCTTATGTACCTCTAATGAAAAAAAGGCCGACAAAAAAAGCAGCTGCAAAGTGAATGTCACAATTAAAACTTCATAAAATATTTAAATTCTGTGGTTTCCCAAGGCACTGTAGGCCCATCGTACCTGGCATAACTTTCAAAATACATGAAATCACTGAAGTCTCTGAGGGTTGTTTGCTGATATTATCTGGTTCTATTACAAAACAGAATCATATAATTGTAGTTGGATTTTTTCTTTTATTGCCATTGCCATTTTGATTATTAGGTCTACTCTAAGAACGAATTATACACACTGATAGATGAATAATATATCTGCATATATTAATCACGTATGATAATTATTCTCCAAGTTTTAAGGATATTTAATTTAAAGTTTCAGCAAAAATGGAGGAAAAATAGGCCATAGGTGCTTTTCTCTCTCTCTCTGTATGCTCGATACGACCCTCAACGACTTAAGGTACCAGTTTCAGCGTCCAGTTCTTTGCTGCGTCCCATATTTTTCTCTGTGTGTTGATTCCTGTACTTTTCTTCAGTTATTTAAGGAACAGGACCCTTTGTTCGCCTCTAGCTTTCTTCTCATGAATCTTTCCGGTTGCGGTCTTTGAGTTCCAAGTGGTTACGGTAAAATTTTAAGTGTGACGCTGTTACGAAAAAGTGTGGCGGTTACCCGGTACCAGAGAGTCCTCCGTGATAGTGACTGTCGGTACGACAGGAATTCCTAGTCGGCGTGAATGGAAGTCCTAGGAATGAAAGCCTGGGGTCCTATATGGTAATTGCAAGTTAAATTGAGTCGGAGAATTAGTGTTATAATTAGTATATGTGACGAATCTCAACTGTACAAAGTATTGGGGAACGGATTACGGTTCCCAGCGGACTTCTTTTTCTGCCACACCGGACCGGTTCCTATTAATTTGTACAGGTCTCCTCCCTACAAATTCACCCAATAAATCACGCTATGTCTTACCTTTGGATCTAATGGAGGGTGGGCTCTCTGTTTAAGACTGTTTCTCGGAACCTCTTTCTCGTGACACCGGACTTTCAGTTTTAAAATACCAGGTCCTACAGACTATAGAATGGTAAGACTGAGTGTTGCTTGACACGGACCTAACTGAATGTTCTGTTTAAATAGTGCTTATGTAAAGGAAGACCTGCTAAAACGACCAGATGCAAATACTTCTCCATTCAAATTATGACCACCTTATTTACGTCGGTAAAAAGCCTCGTTCCCCCACGCTTCATTTGCCGCTTATTATCTCTATGACGAATTCCTTGTCAAGACTGCGTCATAAGCCGTGCCTCGCTCGCCTCCGTTGCGCCTGTCATGAATACGCTAAAATGTCCCCAGTTTATTAGGTGTACCTGTATAAGAGCTAGTTCTTCTAGTGGTCAACCACATATCGATTACCCGTACGACGACAGGTGTATCATGATGGCAGCTATCGGATATACTGAGGATATAATATCCACAGTGCAGAAAAGTCATGTTGTTCACTCCGAAAACTTGGCTCACATTGAGTCAATTACCCCTTCACTTTAAAGTTTTTTTCATATTTATGCAAACTTGTTTCAAAAAGCATAAGCCAAATACATTACATTTCGTTACTCACACAACTGAAAATTTAACCATCGTTTGATATGGAGGAACTATGGTCCATTGCTTTAATATGTGCAAGGACTGATATGCTACCTGATCTCACAGTCTCTCCCTCGTCTTTCAGCTCACGACGGTTTCAACGTACGGAAAGAATCTCCGCGCCACAGGTGCTTGCTCCCTTCAGCTTTCTTCAGAAATAAACGTATTCCTGAGCGCTGATCCAACTTCTTATATATGTGCTGCGTGCCTTCTGGTTTTTCTCAGACAGAACTTTGCGTCAATTTCCACACGCGGCCCTCAATTCTGCACGACAGAAATTGCCTCAGCCTCACGCTAGGAATTTCTGAGATTCCGGTGTAACGAAACTGAGGGTCCGTGAACCAGTAAAATCCGCCCTCCATTTAGTTATAATGGTTAGGGTTAGCCTGACCTAAGTGGGTCAAAATCTAGAGCGAGGCTTACCTGTACAAATGAATGGGAAGCGGACTCTCTATCATATGGGACTCTCCGTCATGTTACATCTGGCAATGCAGCGCTATATATACAGGTCAAAATGACATTCTCTTTCTTTAATTTGGACCCTCGTAGCGAAATTGTGATGATTCTCAACTAAAGGTCGCAATTTTCCTGGAAAAAGGGGTGGGGGGAACGGGTAAGGCAGGGACTGAACACTAGGCCTACATTTGTTTAAAATAAACCAGAAAAGTATTTTTATTCTTCGATAAAAATTTTGGCCACCTGTCCCTCATTGATAGCCTTTAAATTCTCACTGTTATCATCCAGATCACGTATGCATGGCTTCATTCCCATTGAAACACTTAGTGGCCAATAAAGGCTTTTATTTGTTTTAGATTGCTCGAATGTAGTCGTATTTTCTCATTTATAATTCATACATAAATAGGAAACAGATCCGAGGAGGATTGCTAATCGCCCAAGGTGTTTTTGTTGAAAGCATCTTTAACACAATTTACGCCTAGCTTAGGACTGATCGCCTGCCAAACTGGTGTATTTTATCAAGTAAGATAATATTTATCAAAGCTTAAAGGGAAGCTCTCTAAGTAAATCCTATTAACGTTGATACTAATGTCTCGAACCTGAAGGTTTTCTCATTGTTATCTATCACAAATATTAATAATGGAAGAAAGGGCTTCTGTGCTTCTCTCGGGAATTCGAATTCCCAGCATAAAGGACATTTTTTTGAACATTTCTTTTGTTTTATTACCGAAACATACGAATTCAGTATTTCATAATCTGCTGAGCTGTGTTTTTTTCTATTGTGTATTGGTAAGTAAGTGCATTCATTCTAAATTTTGCTTACGGTGATTTGTTTTGTATTGAGAATGTAAAGGCTTCTGGGACACGCAAGAACCACGAATAACGTAATTTC